TTAACAGATAATGTCTTAGATTTACTAAGAAGCATTTTCATCCCATTGCAATATTATAATTTTTTTTAAAAAAACAAAACCCGAAGCTTTAACTGAATAAGGGACTTCACTAACAGATAATAGATTCCATCAGAAAATACTGCTCCCTGAACTTCCTCCTGACAATAAATCTTTGAAATTTATACAAGCCTTGCCAATAAGCTGACATCTCAATAACCGTTCAATATTAAATCTGCACGAATATGTGAACGGTTAAGCTATCGGTACAGTTCAAATTAAAAAGAAACAAAGCACAAATCATGTACATTTAAAGGTTGCGCAATTGCTAAAAAAAAAACAGACATGGAAAAGTATTCTTAGCATTCATAGCCTAGATATTTTTCACCAGCGAGCAGAGGGGTCTCTTGCATTAACCTAAACAGCCCTTTAGATACCACCCATTTAGAAGTTATCCATTAGCCGATTAGGCAATCAGCACATGTCAGTTTTTCCAGTGGGGCAAATAGTCGTTCCCCAGGGCTATTTCAGGTCAGGGAAATAACGTAGGGAGAGAGACATAAATTGAATCTGATCCGGAAACTTCAGCTGGTCCAGAATGCAATGGCGCGTGTTCTGACGGGAGTGCCGTTAAGAGCACACATACATCCGGTGCTCCGCCAGCCGCACTGGCTCCCAGTTAAATACCGGGTCAAGTTCAAGGTTCTGGTTCTGACCTTGAAAGCCCTATGTGGTCTGGGAGCAACATATCTGTAATGTATTGAAATGGCTTACATAAATCGCCGCATTGACTCCCCATGTTAAGCTCGAACCAGAGGAAGGTCACCCAGAGCTGTCTCAGCACTGGCACCAGCCTGGTAGAACACTCTCCCTATTGAGATCTGGGCCCTGCGGGACTTAATGCAGTTCTGCAGGGCCTGTAAAATGGAGATATTCCACCAGGCCTATGGTTGAGGTGGCAGAGATCTATGTACTTGGTCTCCCCTTCCCTTTGCTTGCCTGGTATCAGGGGTCATTTCCTGCAGGAGCACACAGGAGCGGAGCTCCGGCAGTAAAGAGCCCAGGGGGCGGGCACATGCAACAAGCCCCGCCGTCTCTCCTGGTAGGTCCCCAGAAGAGCGTTATGTTCAGTGGATCAAGATCTGCTGGTGGTCCCTGGCCCTAAAAAGGTCCACTTAGCCATCACCCAGAGCCAGAGCCTTCTCAGCACTGGCACCAGCCTGGTAGAACATTCTCCCTATTGAGATCTGGGCCCTGCGGGACTTAATGCAGTTCCGCAGGGCCTGTAAAATGGAGATATTCCGCCAGGCCTATGGTTGAGGTGGCAGAGATCTATGTCTCCCCTTCCCTTTGCTTGCCTGGTATCAGGGGTCATTTCCTGCAGGAGCGCACAGGAGCGGAGCTCCGGCAGTAAAGAGCCCAGGGGGCGGGCACATGCAACAAGCCCCGCCCCCTGCTCCCAGCAGCCCTCAGTCAGAGCAAGAAGCAGCCAGGTAAATTGCAGAGCCCCCACGGCTCCACGGCCCAAAACAGTCCAGTGGCACCTTTAAGACCAAGTTTTATTCAGGTACAAGCTCTCCCTCCTCTGCGAGGACAGATCTGCACGTGTCCCCCCCCCAATAGCTAGCAATCCAAAACAGTCCAGTGGAGCCTGCCAGTGGGTGTTGTCTTCTGACACACGTCTGGTGATGTCAGGGGGTGTGGCACATGCAAATGAGTTATGCTAATGAGCTCCTGCACCTCTTTTTCTACGAAACGACCCCTGCCTGGTATGATCTGTGTCCTTCGCTTGCCCCAATAGCATCAACTGCCTTCCATCTGCACACATTCGAGGATTGCACCAGAGCAGATGGAGATGGAAAATCAGATGATGCCATCAGTTGTTATTACCGCATTTATTGATGTGATTTTATAGTTTTGTTATTACTGTTAATGATTGACGGGGGGTTTTAGAAAGTGCTTTGTGTTTTATCCTTGTTGCGACCTGTCCTGAGCCTGCTCGCAGGGTAGAGTGGCCTAGACGCCCAAAAAAATAAATAAATCGACCCCTTTCCCGTGTGTGTTGCATCGCCAATCAAATCAGGCCCTCTGCACTCCTGGGAATACAACAGGATTGCCAGTTCCAGGTTGGGAAAGCCCTGGAGAGAGATGCAGTAGAGCCTGAGAAAGGATGAGGATTGCACTGGAGCAGATGGAGATGGAAGATGTTATTACCGCATTTACTGATGTGATTTTATAGTTTTCTTATTACTGTTAATGATTGACGGGTGGTTTTAGAAAGTGATCTGTATTTTATCCTTGTTGTGACCTGTCCTGAGCCTGCTCGCAGGGTAGAGTGGCCTAGACGCCCAAAAAAATAAATAAATCGACCCCTTTCCCGTGTGTGTTGCAGCACCAATCAAATCAGGCCCTCTGCACTCCTGGGAATACAACAGGATTGCCAGTTCCAGGTTGGGAAAGCCCTGGAGAGAGATGCAGTAGAGCCTGAGAAGGGAGTGTTGGGACCTCAATGGGGTGTAGTTAGGGCTCTTTATGTATCAGGAACTCCTCTGCATATTAGGCGACACACCCCTAACGTAGCCAGTCCTCCAAGAGCTTACAGTAGCCCCTGTAAGAAGAGCTCCGTAAGCTCTTGGAGGATTGGCTACATTAGGGGGGGGTGTCGTCTAATATGCAAAGGAGTTCCTGCTACAGTCCACTCTCTAAAGGAGGCGTTTTCTCCTGGGGAACCGATCTCTGTCACCTGAAGATCAGTTCTAATTGTGGGGAGTCTCCAGGCCCCACCTGGAGGTTGGCAACCTCAAACTTCGGTTGCCAACACAGGATGCCCAGGGCATGTCTGGCTGACACGACCAGGGCAGACACAAAGACAAAGTGACATCTTGCTAAGCCCTCAGCTTCGTTGGACTATGCAAGGACTATAGTGCAGCCTTATGAAGAAGATATGAAGATCATCCTACAGGGGACAAGCTGAAGGACCTTTAGCTAGCATAGCTAGACTAGGGACTTCCCCCTTTTTCAGACTGTGTCCTTGCTGTCTCCTCATTGGCCCTGCTGAGACTTCCTGCGTGTTCTGTTGCTCTTTGATCCTCCTTCAGAAGCTAGACTAGATAGTTAAGGCTCTTTCTGTGTTCTGTAACAGTTCTTCCTTAATAAACCTACATCGGGGCTATTGTTGGGCAGGAACGCACAGGAACGGAGTTCCGGCTGGCTTCAGAGTTGGACCTGGAGGCTGGAAACCCTAAGGTCATGGTATCATGCAATCCCCCCCCCCATGTTTTTCCCTCCTGCTGCTCCACAGAACAAGGTGGGGGTGTGCCAGGCAAACTCGTAAGGCTTTGCTTGGGGTTAAAGGTGTGGAAAGTTTGAAGTCCGCCCAGGAGTCCAGCCCCTAAACTGGGAGTGGGATGGTTCTCCTGCTGTGGCTGCAGCACCTTTTGGTGTTGCCATGGCAACAGGTGCCTGAGACAATCCTTCTGCCCACTCTGGATCCTTCCTCTCCCTTCACTTTGCCTGGATTTGGAGGAACTTTTATGGGCATCTGTGCCAGCTCCAAGTTAGGAAAGAGGAGCGCGCAAAGCACCAATGATGTCACCTGGAAGTGACATCATTGCACTGAGCACATCATGCAGGGGACGCACTAGCATTTGGCTAAAAACTCTATGGTCACTCTTCAGGGGCAAGGCTACCCTGCTGCCCACCTAGCCAGCGGATTGGGGGGCCCAAAATAAGGGGAACCCCCACCCCCATTTGGGCGTGGCAACCCCGCTTCCTTCGCATATTTAAACTCTGCCGACAAGCTTCACACCCCTCACCACAATGCAAGGGTAGCCTAACCCTAACCCCTCCACAATACAGGGATAAAGCTGTCCTACCTTGTAGGGCTGTTGTAAGGTAAGTGTATGTGAAGTGCTTCGACTCTTTGAAATGTGCATTTGCGATCCCTCTGGATCGACAAGGCAAGGCCTTAGCTAGGTTAAGCGATGCCATTCTTAACAATCTCTGGGTGCGTTCAGACGGGGCATTTATGCCGGTATAGATGCCGGTTAGAATCGGTGTACTTACGGGCGATCACACGGCGAACATCTGCCTTCCGTCCCTAACCGTTGCAAACAGCCTTTAACCGTTGTATTCTGCCACTAGGTCCCCTAAGAACCCCGAGCTTTCCGCTTTTCAGCCGCCATTTTTTTAAAGTCTCCTCGATATGTGCTTGGGCGAGGCTTCGCCCTGGTGTTTGTAAAAAAAACCCAAAGATGCTTAGTTTTAGGCTTTAGACGAGTCTGGGACCTCACGGAGGCCAGTTTCAGAGTAAAAATTTAAAGGGACGTCTTCACTTCAAGGCATGCTTTCCGGGTTGGGTTGTTCTGTGCCTGTGCAAAGATCTTCATTAGAAGGAAGCCTGCCTATGCGCATGCGCAAACGGTATATATATATTAAAAAAACCCCGCCGACACACTCTGCTGAGCGGCTGAAGTGTGGACAGGCATATTGCGATGTGCTGCGCAGTCAGGAGGTGTGATCGCGTTTCTTCCAGATCATACTGCTCCGGTTCTAACCAGAGCAGTTTATGCCGGCTAAAATGCCCCGTCGAAATGCACCCACTAGGTGAGGGGTCCCCAATACGTTCAGCCCGCGGGCACCTTTGGAATTCTGACACCATGTGGCGGGCACAGACACAAAACAGCTGCCAAAAAATGGTTGCTGCAGGAGGCAGAGTCATCCACAAAATGGCGGGTGCACTTAACTTTCAGTTACATACTGAAGATCCTTGTGCTGTGGTGGCAGCTGCTGCCTAAGCAACATTCTTGGGGAAAACTGCACAGCCCATCAAATCTCCATGGCCAATCAGTAACCATGCTGAGCAAAGCTCCACTTGGCCCCGCCCCTTTCTAAAAACACTTTCAGGCACCAGGAAAAGCATCAGCAGATGCCATGGGGTGGTAGGAGCTCTCCTCTGACCTGCCTTCGTTAACGTAACCATGTTCCTTTCTTCCTGAGCTCAGGTCCCAACCACCATGGAAATGTTCTGCTGTTACGGGCCCGTGATTCCAAATGGTTACGGCGCATGCTACAATCCACAGCCGGAGCATATATTATTCTGCATTTCGAGCTTTAAAGACTGTAAAGAGACATCCTCCAACAAATTTGCAAAAGCAGTAGGAGAAAGTCTTACGGACGTCAGAGAGCTCTGCATCAGATGCAACGCAACTAAGACAAGCACTCCAACGAAACAAGAAGCTTCTTCAGCGCCTCCACGTGGTCGGAAGTCCTAACTACGTGCGCACCGTTCTCGCGCCATCTTTTTGTTCCTCCTGTTTGCAGGTGCTTTCGAAAGTAGAATGGTTTTACAGTGCTAGGGTTGCCAAGTATAGCTTACCTCTGCAGAGGGGGACTCCCGGGTGGATCCCGGGGCGCGCGCGCTGCACACACATCACCAGGAAGTGACGTTATGACGCTGGGCACGCTGGGGGCAGGGCCACGACCATTCGAGGGGGAACCATAGAGTTTCCCCTCGGATGGTCATATATTATTCTGCATTTCGAGCTTTAAAGACTGTAAAGAGACATCCTCCAACAAATTCGCAAAAGCAGTAGGAGAAAGTCTTACGGACGTCAGAGAGCTCTGCATCAGATGCAACGCAACTAAGACAAGCACTCCAACGAAACAAGGAGCTTCTTCAGCGCCTCCACGTGGTCGGAAGTTCTAACTACGTGCGCACTGTTCTCCCGCCATCTTTTTGTTCCTCCCGTTTGCAGGTGCTTTCGAAGGTAGAATGGTTTTACAGTGCAAAAGCGAGTTATAATTGAGAACCTTTTGATGGGGTAGGGGAAAGAGATCCAGTTCATCTGAGGCTCTGATTTCTCCCAGTGTTTGTCGAGAGGATTCCTCTAAAGCGGGTGTTTCCGTTCTGCACAAAACTAATTTATGCCAATGACTGGTCTGAGAACTGGCATTTTTGTACAACTCATCAGCATGATCAAAGCGGGCAGCCGTGTTTGTCTGAAGAAACAGAACAAAGTTAGACCCCGGTGGCACTTTTAAGACCAACAAAGGCCCCGGTCACACGGGAGGTTTAGGGCCGGAAGAGGGACGGATCGGGGGGTGCAGCAAACGGGCGCGATCCCACCGCAACATCTGGGAAGCGTTGCGCACCCATCCCCGATCCAGCCCTTCAGGTCGAAAATCCGTAGCTAAAAGAAACCACCTACAGAGGTGGACTTACCAGAAAGGCCGCATCAAATGCGGCCGTGGGATCGCCGGCGCGTCCTTCTGCCGGCGCTAGCGGGCTTTGTCCTGATTGGAGCGGGCTAGGATCCGCATAGTCCATTGTCTCTTAGAACGAAGCTCGACGTTTGTCTCTGGACTTGTCCGGACATGTCTGGACTTGTCAGGACTTGATACACCACACCGTTGCAGCCAGCACCGTTCCCCACCCACGCATGTGCACAACCGCGCTACTGCTGGTTTGCTGCACAACGTGTGATCAGCTGCCGGAGCACGGAGCCGCAGGGGCACGTCGGATCGCGCTCCCGTGGTTCTTTTTGCTTCGGCTCTAATTTGACCCCCTTCGGCAGCGGATCACCCCGCTCGTGTGACCGGGACCAAAGTTTGTCTATGTGTGTGTGTGCGCACACGAAAGCTCACACCTTGAATAAGACTTCGTTGGTCTTAAAGCTGCCACTGGACTCTAACTTTGTTCTAACTCATCAGGATGTTTACTTTGAAATATCCAGCTAACAATGAAGGTTGTGGCTAAAGGGTACTACATCAAGGCATATAACAGGTAATAGTCCCTATGGGAAGGGGAATCAAATGCTAATAAGCAGGGCTCTTTTTGTAGCAGGAAATCCTTTGCATATTAGGTGACACACCCCTCATGTAGCCAATCCTCCAAGAGCTTACAGTAGCCCCTGTAAGAAGGGCTCTGTAA